GAACCGAAGGAGAAAACTGCATGTGTGAGTCTCCCTAACAGGGAAAGAAAGGGAGACGTCCGAAATTTCCAAGTTTTGCCACCAGGTGGCGCCATGAGATTAGATGACTATTTTAGTTGAAGGCAACCACTGAAGGAGGGTGAGATACATAAAAATCACATGGCTGGATATTCACATCCTAAGAGGCTCAGGATTGGTGAAGCGGTAAGCCGTGGGTTAGAATATATATCAAGTTATATCAAGAATATATATTAAATTATGGCTTAGAATGTATAACAAGGAACACAAAGCTAGTTGAACTCTTTTTTTTAAAGACATTGTCTCACTGGGCGTGGTGGCTCAAGCCTGTAATCCCAGCACTTTCGGAGGCCGAGGCAGGCGGATCACGAGGTCAAGGGATCGAGACCATCCTGGCCAACATGGTGAAACCCCGTCTCTACTAAAAATACAAAAATTAGCTGAGCATGGTGGTGGGCGTCTGTAGTCTCAGCTACTCCAGAGGCTGAGGCAAGAGAATTGCTTGAACCCGGGAGGCGGAGGTTATAAGTGAGCCGCAATAGCACCACTGCACTCCAGCCTGGCGCCTGGCAACAGAGCGGGACTCTTGTCTCAAAATAAATAAATTAATTAATTAAATAAAGACATTGTCTCACTCTGTCGCCCAGGCTGGAGTGCAGTGGCGCCATCTCGGCTCACTGCAACCTCCGCCTCCCAGGTTAAAGCGATTCTCCAGTCTCAGCCTCCCAGGTAGCACGTGCCACCATGCCCAGCAAATTGTTTTTGTATTTTCAGTAGAGATGGGGTTTCCTCATGTTGGCCAGGCTAGTCTCGAACTCTTGACCTCACATGATACGCCTGCCTTGGCCTCCCAAAGTTCTGGGATTACAGGCATGAGGCACTGTGCCCAGCCTAGTTTAACATTTTAAAGAATCTATTTATCTAGTACAAGCCATGGCTCACACCTGTAATCCCATCACTTTGGGAGGCTGAGGGCTGAGTGGGTCACCTGAGGTCAGGAGTTCAAGAACAGCCTGGCCAACATGGGGAAATCTCGTCTCTAAAAATACAAAAATTACTCAGGCATGGTGGCCTGCACCTGTAGTCCCGACTACTCTGGAAGCTGAGACAGAAATCGTTTGAACTCCAGAGGTGGAGGCTGCAGTGAGCCGAGATTAAGCCACTTACACTCTAGCCTGGGTGACCGAGAGAGACTCCATCTCAAAAAAAAAAAAAAATCTAGTTTAGTATATTAACAATTTCTTTTTTTCTGAGACAGGGTCTTGCTCTATCCTCCAAACTGGAGTGAGGTGACATGATCGTGGTTTACTGAAGCCTCAACCTCCCAGGCCCAAGCAATCCTCCCACCTTAGCCTCTTGAGAAGCTGGGACTACAGGTGTGCTTCACTGCACTGGCTACCCTCCCTCCCTTCTTTCCTTCCTACCTTCCTTCCTCTTTGTGGAGATGGAGTCTCACTGTGTTGCCCAGGCTGGTTTTGATTTCCTGGGCTCAAGCAATCCTCCTAGGACTACAGGCATGAGCTGTTGCACTCAGCCCACAATTTTTTTAAAAAGTAAAGACAGGCGGAGCGCAGTGGCTCACACCTGTAATCCCAGCACTTTGGGAGACTGAGGCAGGCAGATCACGAGGTCAGGAATTTGAGACAGCCTGACCAACGAACGTGGTGAAACCCCGCCTCTACTAAAAATAAAAAAATGAGCCATGTGTGGCGTTGGGCACCCATAATCCCAGCTATTCGGGAGGCTGAGGCAGGAGAATTGCCTGAACCTGGGAGGTGGAGGTTGCAGTGAGCTGAGATTGCACTACTGCACTCCAGCCTGCGTGACAGAGCGAGACTTGGTCTCAGAAAAATAAAAAAGTAAAGACATACAAATGGCAACAGACACATGAAAAGGTGCTCAACATCACTGAGCATCAGAGAAATGCGAACCAAAACTGCAACCAGATAATCATCTCACTCCAGTTAAAATGGCTTTCATCCTATTGAGACAGGTAATCACAAGTGCTGGCGAGGATGTGAAGGAAAGGGAACCTTCGTAAACTGTTGGTTGGGACTGTAAATTGTACAACCACTATAGAGAATAGTTTGGAATCTTCTCAAAAACTAAAAGTGGAGCTAAGATATGATCCATCAATGCCACTACTGCATATATACCCCCTAAAAAGAAAATCCGTTTTTCAAAGAGATCCTGCACTCCCATATGAACTATTCACAGTAGCCAACGCCCCCATATGAACTATTCACGGTAGCCAACGCCCCCGTAGGAACTATTCACGGTGGCCAACGCTCCCATATTAACTATTCACGGTAGCCAACGCTCCCATACGAACTATTCACGGTAGCCATTAACTATTCACAGTAGCCAGCGCCCCCATATGAACTATTCACGGTAGCCAGCGCCCCCATATGAACTATTCACGGTAGCCAGCGCCCCCATATGAACTATTCACGGTGGCCAACGCTCCCATATTAACTATTCACGGTAGCCAACGCTCCCATACGAACTATTCACGGTAGCCATTAACTATTCACAGTAGCCAGCGCCCCCATATGAACTATTCACGGTAGCCAACGCTCCCATATGAACTATTCACGGTAGCCAACACTCCCATATGAACTATTCACGGTAGCCATTAACTATTCACAGTAGCCAATGCCCCCATATTAACTATTCACAGTAGCCAACGCTCCCATATGAACTATTCACGGTAGCCAACACTCCCATATGAACTATTCACGGTAGCCATTAACTATTCACAGTAGCCAATGCCCCCATATTAACTATTCACAGTAGCCAACGCTCCCATATTAACTATTCACGGTAGCCAACGCCCCCATATTAACTATTCACAGTAGCCATTAACTATTCACAGTAGCCAACGCCCCCATATTAACTATTCACAGTAGCCAACGCCCCCATATTAACTATTCACAGTAGCCATTAACTATTCACAGTAGCCAACGCCCCCATATGAACTATTCACAGTAGCCAACGCCCCCATATTAACTATTCACAGTAGCCATTAACTATTCACAGTAGCCAACGCCCCCATATGAACTATTCACAGTAGCCAACGCCCCCATATTAACTATTCACAGTAGCCATTAACTATTCACAGTAGCCAACGCCCCCATATGAACTATTCACAGTAGCCAGCGCCCCCATATTAACTATTCACAGTAGCCATTAACTATTCACAGTAGCCAACGCCCCCATATGAACTATTCACGGTAGCCAGCGCCCCCATATGAACTATTCACGGTAGCCAGCGCCCCCATATGAACTATTCACAGTAGCCAACGCCCCCATATTAACTATTCACAGTAGCCAACGCCCCCATATTAACTATTCACAGTAGCCATTAACTATTCACAGTAGCCAACGCCCCCATATTAACTATTCACGGTAGCCAGCGCCCCCATATGAACTATTCACGGTAGCCAGCGCCCCCATATGAACTATTCACGGTAGCCAGCGCCCCCATATGAACTATTCACGGTAGCCAGCGCCCCCATATGAACTATTCACGGTAGCCAACGCTCCCATATTAACTATTTACAATAGGCAACACTATTCACAGTAGCCAAAATTTGGAAGCCACCTTAGAGTCCATCAACAGATGAATGGATAAAGAAAATGTGATACTTATACACAATGCGGTACTTATTCAGCCATAAAAAATGATGAGATTCTGTCATTTGCAACATGGATGGAACTGGAGGTCACTAATGTTAAGGGAAATAAGCCAGGCACGGAAAGAGGAACATTGTATGTTCTCGCTGATTTGTGGGATCTAAACATCAAAATAATTAAACTCATGAAGATAGAGTGAAAGGTTACCAGAGGGTAAGAAGGGTAGTGGGGGGCCGGGCGCGGTGGCTCACGCCTATAATCCCAGCACTTTGGGAGGCCAAGGCGGGTGGATCACAAGGTCAAGAGATCGAGACCATCCTGGTCAACAAGGTGAAACCCCATCTCTACTAAAAATACAAAAATTAGCTGGGCGTGGTGGCGCACGCCTGTAATCCCAGCTACTCGGGAGGCTGAGGCAGGAGCATTGCTTGAACCCGGGAGGCAGAGGTTGCGGTGAGCCGAGATCGCGCCACTGCACTCCCGCCTGGATAACAAGAGCGAAACTCCGTCTCAAGAAAATAAAAAGAAGGGTAGTGGGGAAGCATGGGTATGGGAAGTGAGGATGGTTAATGGGGACAAAAAACAATAGAAAAAATGAATAAGACCTAGTATTTGACAGCACAACAAGGTGACTATATCAATAATTTAATTGTACATTCAGAAAGAACTAAAGGGTATAATTAGATTATTTGTAGCACAAAGAAGAAAAGCTTGAGGAAATGGATACCCTATTTCCCATGATATAATCATTACGCATTGTATGCTTATATCAAAATATCTCATGCCCCCATAAATGTAGACACTTATGTGCCCAAATTAAAAATAAAATTTTTAGCAGCATCGCAAAAGTTTTAAAAATTAAAAAAATTAAAGTACACACACAATTACCTCAATATACTCAGAAATTCCCTTAATAAATTTAAAACCCATGCTCACACATATACACCATGGAATATTATGCAGCCATCAAAAATGATGAGTTCTTGTTCTTTGTAGGGACATGGATGAACCTGGAGACCATCATTCTCAGCAAACTGACACAAGAACAGAAAATGAAATACCACATGTTCTCACTCATAGGCGGGTGTTGAACAATGAGAACACATGGACACAGGGAGGGGAGCGCTACACACTGGGGTCTGTTGGAGGGATTAGGGGAGGGACAGTGGGGGGTGGGGAGTTGGGGAGAGATAGCATGGGGAGAAATGCCAGATATAGGTGAAGGGGAGGAAGGCAGCAAATCACACTGCCATGTATGTACCTATGCAACAATCTTGCATGTTCTTCACATGTACCCCAAAACCTAAAATGCAATAAAAAACAAAAATAAAAAATAAATAAAACCCGTGCTCGCTTCAGCAGCACATATACTAAAATCGGAACGATACAGAGAAGATTAGCATGGCCCCTGCGCAAGGATGACACGCAAATCACTTCAAAAAATGTGAAGCTCCATATAAAAATAAATAAATAAATTTTAAACCCTCTTTTTATTTAAAAAGAAAAAACTCTTAGAAAAATGGAGCTCCATATAAAAATAAATAAATAAATTTTAAACCCTCTTTTTATTTAAAAAGAAAAATCTTAGAAAAATGGAGCTCCATATAAAAATAAATAAATAAATTTTAAACCCTCTTTGTATTAAAAAAAAAAAAAACTCTTAGAAAAATACGTATATGGAGAAAATACGTAAAAGGAAGTTTAACCTGATAAAAGTCATGTACCAAAAATTAGTCAAGCTGGTGGCATGTGCCTGCAGTCCCAGCTATTCAGAGGAGGCTGCGGTAGGAGGATCACTTGAGCCTGGGAGGCGGAGGGTGCAGTAAGCTGAGATGGTGCCACTGCACTTGAGCCTAACTGACAAAGTGAGACCCTGTCTCAAACAAAAAAAGAAATGAGATACCACTTATGTTCCACATTGGACTGGAAGTTGCAGCCAGTCAACTCAGTAAGAAAAAGAATAAAAGTTTTATGGATGGAGAAGACTGAAAATTACAATGATTTGCAGAAGATGAAGAAAGGCTACGTAGAAAGCCCAAAAGACTCCACAAATTATTTAAAACCGTGAGAATTACCGGGTGCAGTGGCTCACGCCGGTAATCCCAGCAACTTTCGGAGGCTGAGGCGGGCAGATCACAAGGTTAAGAGATCGAGACCATCCTGGCCAACATGGTGAAACCCCATCTCTACTAAAAATACAAAAATTAGCTGGGCATGGTGGTGGGCGTCTGTAGTCCCAGCTACTCAGGAGGCTGAGGCAGGAGAATTGCTTGAACCCGGGAGGCGGAGGTTGCAGTGAGCCGAGATGGCGCCATTGCACTCCAGCCTGGCGCCTGGCGACAGAACGAGACTCTGTCTCAAAACAAACAAACAAAAAACCTGTGAGAATCAAACAAGGTTTCTTAATTTAAGGTCAGCAAACAAAAATCAGCTGCATTCTCTACACCAGCCAGAAACCGTTTTCAAATGTAACTCTGAAAACAACAACAAAATAGAAGATGCTTAATAATAAATCTAACAAAATAAATACACCATCTTAATGCAAAAAATTTAAACAACTTTACCGAATGGCATCCAGAAAGACTTGTTGGAAACACATTGCATATTCATGATTAGGAACGCTTCATACTGTACAGCTGTAATTTCTTACCAAATTAATCTGTTAATACATTTCCGAGCAAAAGTCCCCGAAGCATTTTTTTTCCTCTGCAGGTTAAACTCACTCTAAAATTTATGCAGAAGAACAAAGAACCAAAACTAGCCAGGAGCTTATTTTACAAACAAGGTGTAGCAACTTTTAAAGAAAGCTCAACCAGATAGACCTCAAGACTTGTTAAAAAGCTAAGGCTGTAGTAATAAGGACAGAATAGTATCGACACAGGGATACACACATTGACCAATGCAACAGAAGAGAGTGTAACAGAACAGAGTAAGAAATACGAAAGAAATGGCACTAGGATCAATAGGAAAAGGATGAACTATTAAATAAAGTATCAAGACAACTAGTCATCCAGACAAAATAAAATACAATTGGGTCCATACTTCTGACAGGCAGAAAAGTTATTTATAGCTGGACTAAAGATTTAAATGTAAAAACAACCAAACCTTTAGAAGAAAATGTAGAAAAATATCTTCATGACATCAAATGAGAGAAGAATTTCTTAAACAAGACACACACAGGAAAAAATCCCCACAAATTATAGGGAAAGTGATTTATAAATTAAGCTACAAGAACGTGTAAAACATTTACCTATCAAACAAAAACCCATAAAAAGACAAAAACACAAGGCAAGCCATGGAAAGAGATAGCTCTAAAACATTTAAATGTCAACTGGATGAAAATATACAGTCTAATAGAAAACAGACTATTTAAAAAAAACTAAATGTTTTTTAAAACATTTAAAAAAGTCATTTCAAAGAAGAGGAGACATGAAAGTTCCTTAAATAAAAGTTATCAACCACATTAGTAATGAAGAAATGCGAATTATTAATAAAGGCACGATATCATCTTAAACCTATCAGATTGGCAGAAACTGAAAAGTCTAGTGATACGAAGTGTGGGTGAAGATGTCCTTGCTTTGGGAAACAACTGATGTTTACATAGTGAAGTTGAAGATGTGCATATTCTATAATAAGAGACAATTCCCCTCCTTAGGTCTCTGCTGTAGAAATACCATTGTGCTTATTCACTAGAAAACATGAATAGAAGACAAGACTATCCATGCTATATTGTTTATAGATTTTTTTTAAATACTGGTAACAATCCTATGGCCAGGTACAGTGGCTCACACCTGTAATCCCAGCACTTTGGGAGGCCGAGATTGGCAGATTACTTGAGGTCAGAAGCTTGAAACCAGCCTGGCCAACGTGGTGAAACCCTGTCTCTACGAAAAACACAAAAAATTAGCCAGGTGTAGTGGTGGGTGCCTGCAATCCCAGCTGCTCGGAAGGCTGCAGCAGGGGAATCGCTTGAACCCAGGAGATGGAGGTTACAATGAGCCAAGATTGTGCTACTGCACTCCAGCCTTGGTGATAGAGTGAGACTCTGTCTCGAGATATATATATATATTGTTACCAGTAACAATCCAAATGTCCACCATCAGGGGAACTGAGGAATTGTAGCATACTCATAAAATAAATACAGCAGTGAAAATGAACCACAGTTACATTCGTCAGAATGGATTTGCATGTGTGTATAGTAGAACTATGTTTTGAGAACTTCATCGTGAATTACAAAGAAAAATCTATTTTTATGAAGTTTATGTGTGTGCACAACTAGACATTAGATTCTTGTAGATACAAACATACACAGTAAAAGCAAAGAAAAGGATGGCCTGATGGAGGAGGGACATGCAATGCCTGTTACTGGCAACATGCTGTATTTCAAACAGATACATGACTATCTAATATATATATTCCCTAATTGGTTTCTACTTGATGCATCTCATCCTCTAACATCGTTATGAATCAATCTCTCATTTTCAAGTGTTTAAAAACAGAAAGCACCGGAGGAAAAACACTACAATAGACGGGGAAGTTATGAATTTGGTTCCAATTATCTTTAGTCTTTGAACCATTCGAATTTCAACAGTCTCAAACAATGAAGAAAAAGTCAATAGTTACTCTAAGGACACTGATTGAAAGAAGCAACTGTGTTATTTCCATACTATTGGATGCTCTCATTTCTCTAAATCAGCAGTTCTCAAAGTGTGGTCCCAAGACAGCAGCATCAGACTCACCTTTAAGAAATGCATTCTTTGTTATTTTTTTTATGTGTGTGTGGCATGGTCTTGCTCTGTCACCCAGGCTGGAGTGCAGTGGCACAGTCTCGGATCACTGCAACCTCCGCCTCCTGGGGTTCAAGCTATTCGCATACCTCAGTCTCCCTAGTAGCTGGGATTACAGGTGTGCACCAACACACCCAACTAATTTTTGTATTTTTGGTAGCAACGGGGTTTCACCATGTTGGCAAGGGTGGTCTCACAAGCCCTCCAGGGGATTCTGATGCAAGCTACTGTGAGAACAACTACCGGAAGTTGTTCAAATGTGTAAGAAATCCCTTCATTATAACAAAATAAGATTTCCTTAGGGTCCCCTCAAAATGTTACTAGTCAGAAAGCCACAGCACTGGCCCTTAGAAGAACATTTCTTTTTTTTTTTTTTTTTTGGAGACAGGATCTTGCTATGTTGCCCAGGCTGGAGTGCAGTGGCTATTCACAGGCGCAATCCTACTACTGATCATTACTCGAGTTTTGACCTGCTCCATTTCCCATCTGAGCCAGTTCACCCCTCCTTAGGCAACCTGATGGTCCCCCACTTCCAGGAGATCACCATATTGATGCCAAACTTAGTGCGGACACCTGATCGCATAGCGCACTACAGCCCAGAACTCCTGGGCTCAAGGGATCCTTCCTCCCACCTCAGCCTCCCGAGTAGCTGGGACCACAGGCAGCGCCACTGCGCCTGGCAGAACATTCCTTTTTAAAATCCTTTAACTCAGGAGTTACTAAACTATGGCTCATGGACCAAACCCAGCTTCCCATCTGCTTTTGTACAGAATGTGATTGAAGAATGTTTTTTACCTTTTAAAAAAATAAATCATAGGAAGAATATTTTGTGACACATGAAGTATAGGAAATTCAGAGTGAAGTGTCATAAATGAAATGTTATTGGAACACAGACATGCTCATTCATTGACCGATGCCTAGAGCTGCTTGTGAACCACAACAGCAGAGTTGCATGGCGGGGACAGAGACAACTGGCCTGCAGAGTCCAAAATATTTAGTATCTGGACTTCTTCATAAAGATCATTTGCCCTCTTTGCTCTAATTTGGTAGAATCTACTAGTATAAAAGCAAAATATAATTATAGTAATTTTCTGTTAAAATGCAATTTTCATTTTAATTACACACAGGCAAAAATCTAATAGTTTAAAGAATCATAAGGAAAGCTAAGTCAGATTTTTGTTTTAAATACAGATGGGGTCTCACCACGTTGCCCAGGCTGGTCTCAAACTCCTGGGCTCAGGCAGTCCTCCCACCTCAGCCTCCCAAAATGCCGGGATTACAGGCATGAGCCACCACTCCCAGCCCACATCTATTTTTATCTACAAAGCCACTCAAATAACCTACATAGAACATCTCAGAAATATTTTTACTTATGCTTTCTCTCTTCAAATCTTCTAATAAACAACAAAGAATTGCACAAAGAATTGACTGATACATTTCAATGAAATACTTACTCAGTTCTGAAACAGTCTGTCCTGAAAACAAATTTAGCATCCTCCTGCATTTACTCAGGTTAACTCAAACTACAGGCCTGTCTCAAATGCTGCATGATGACTTCATTTCTCAGCTTTCACAGTGGCCACCTTCCTCTCTGGCTGTCTCCCACATGCTAAAGCTCAGCAGGTAAGAGCCTTCTTCCCTTTGATCTTCAACCTCATGAATTTTCC